GACATACTGGTTTACTCGAAGACTTGGGAAGAACATGCGCAACATTTGAGAATTGTTCTTCAGACTCTTCGAGAACACTAGTTGTATGCTAAGAAGGAGAAGTGTGACTTCTGGCTGACAGAAGTGAAGTTCCTTGGGCATGTGATTTCTGGACAAGGAATTTCTGTCGATCCTTCTAAGATCGAGACTGTGCTACAGTGGGAAAGGCCGAAGAATGTAGCGGAGATTCACAATTTTCTCGAACTGGCAGGCTATTACCGGCGTTTTGTGAAGGACTTCTCGAGCATCGCTGCACCGATGACTCGGTTGACGAGGAAGGAAGTCAGATTCGAATGGAACGCCGAATGTGAAAGTGCTTTTCAAGAATTGAAGGTCAGACTGACAAGTGCACCAGTCTTGACTATTCCTGACAGTGAAGGGCTGTATGAGGTATATACTGACGCCTCGGGGAGTGGGCTAGGCTGTGTGTTGATGCAAGGTGGACGCGTTGTAGCTTTCGCATCCCGACAACTAAAGCCATATGAACAGAATTACCCCACCCATGATTTGGAGCTAGCAGCGGTGATATTTGCTCTAAAGATATGGAGATGTTATCTTTATGGAGCAAAGTTTCAGGTCTTCTCTGACCATAAAAGTCTGAAGTACTTGTTTACTCAGAAAGACTTGAATCTCAGGCAAAGGAGATGGGTGGAGTACATGGAAGACTACGACTTCACTCTCCAGTATCATCCTGGAAAAGCTAATGTGGTGGCTGATGCCCTTAGCAAGAAGCCGACGGGGATTCTGGCGTCATTAGCTTTGGAAGATTAGAAAAGGACTGAGTGAGTATGATCTTCAGTTCTATGAAGATTATAACCAGGCTATGGTGTATAATCTGGTCTCTACACCGGACATTGTGCAACAAGTTAAGCAGAATCAATGGCAGGATCCCCACCTCCAAGGGATTTGGATTCGGATCCAGAATGGAGAACAATTTAAGGATTGGAGAATCCGGGAGGACGGAACCTTGTATTTCCGCAACCGCCTTGTTGTTCCTAAGG